TAAATAGTGTTGTAGCTAGTCTATTAAGTCATATCGTGTCTCCCTTTCTTCTTCTACTGTGTAGATTCGAGTAATTGAAAGGAACTGTGAGATTCCCCATGAAGGGCCCTTCTGTGACTTGATGTGGAGTGATCCTGAAGATATCGAGACGTGGGCTGTTAGTCCTCGAGGAGCAGGCTGGCTTTTTGGTTCCAGGGTTACATCTGAGGTGAATACATGAATTTAGTATGCAGTGTTGCAGGATATATGGTTATTGGATAGATTTACACATACAGTATCCATGAATATCCCACATCAGGAAAACCAATTCTAGCTTTATAATATCTGTTTTGTTTAGATAATACGATTCTTTTTTTTTTTTCCTGCAGTTCAACCATATTAACAAACTTGATCTAGTTTGTCGGGCACACCAACTTGTTCAAGAAGGCCTGAAGTACATGTTTCAGGATAAAGGACTAGTGACTGTGAGTTTCTGTATCCTTATCATGAACTGCAACGTATTAATCAGGACAGATGTTGTCTTGAGCTCTTTATATCTAATCGTTTCGCTTTGTAACAATGCAGGTGTGGTCTGCACCAAATTATTGTTATCGATGTGGAAATGTGGCATCAATATTAAGCTTCAATGAGAATATGGTATGATCTTCTATGTTGATCTCTGTTAGTTTCAATAGTTTTGACATATAACTTGATGTAATTGTTTTCTTGCATTAGGAGCGAGAGGTGAAGTTTTTCACAGAGACTGAAGAGAACAACCAAATGCGTGGACCAAGAACCGGAGTTCCTTATTTTCTTTGATTGAGTTTGCTTCATTTAGAATATGATTTTGGTGCTTGCAACCAAGGCTGCATGGAATGTGAGAAAAGAAATATTACAGCTGTTAAGACTTTGTGCTGCTTTTTTTGTTTTTTTTTTTTTTAACATAGTTCTTGATATGTATCACCCCTTGTCTTTAGTAGGATTTGTGTTTGTTGTCTTTTCACGCATTTAAAAAGATCTATTGTTTAGACAAAAGTGGTTATGCTCGAACTCATTTGTATCTCATATATTTCAGAATCATTGCCAATAATGATCCTGTTGCGCTCTTTATATTTGTGCATTTGCATCAAAGATGAGTGCAGTTGTAATGCGGCATGAACAATGTGTAATTGAAACACCATTTACATACGAACTTGGAAGACTGCCAAGGCTCCTCACATAGAATCTGATATACCTCCCACTTTATTTGCAAGACTATTTAGGTAGGAAACCATGACAATCACCCTATACAAGGTAACATTCAGACATTACACTCAATTTCAATTTCAGCCTCTACAAGAGGTTCAATATCAAGATCACGGCCAAAAACACCAATAAAAATATTGGAATATGCTTCGAGAGCGTGTGGTACAAAAAGACAAACCTTTGTTTTGCATTTCCTTCCTCTCTTTCCCATACTTCTGAGACAAGGTATTCTTTACTATGATAAGATGTGTGGTTTGTTTTCCATTTCTATATCTTGCATTCACAGTTTTTGCTCAGTTTACACATATGGCATCAATGCTTGGGATAAACACAACGTAACCAGTAGTAGGCAACATCAATAGAAGAGGGCTTACACAGATGGCTAGTAAGCAGTTTTACATGTGTAACATTTGTTTACGAATACATTGGCATGACCAAGATATTTCAGCTAGGATATTAACAGGTCGTGCAAGGAGATTTTTTTTATTTAATTCAAAACTATAATTTACAGAATACAGATAAGATAGTTAACTTAATTCAATTCTAAGCAACAACAATTAATATTTATTTTTCCCAACAAGATCAAGGGTTCCACAATGAGCATTCATGCAACGTTTACAACAAGAAAAAGAGAACAAGAAGAAAACAGGCCTGGGAACATCACAAGTGAAACAAGACAACATTTCTAACTATGGGATAGACATAAATATATCAAGAGGCGAAAGAGAGGGAAAAACGGAAGGAAGAACAATTCAGTAAAATCCCTATTACAAAGCAAGCAACCAAAACCTACTACTTATTTGTGTCCCCAAAGATTCTAAACCAGGTCTTCCCTCTTTGCTTCAATGATAATTTATCACTTGCTGACACATTTTCACTTGAAAGCACCCGGCCCAGATAAAGGAGTCAGAACTAGTAGATTCCAAAATTTACATGTCAAAGTATCCAGCAATTATGTGAAGACATCGAGCAAAACCAATTGTACTCAAAGCAGGATAATCTGCAGTTTCACATTTACAGACAACTATCAAACAACCCATGTACAGAACAAATGGGATCAAGAAAGATAATGCAAAAGCAAGAGATATACTTACGCACCCGCCAATCAATTCCCCATGGACCTAAGCTCCTCCAATTGCTCTTTGATCTGATCCTGCACCAGCTCCAGCCGCTTGGAGAAAACCTCCAACTCCAATATTTGTTGCTTCCTCCACCTGTTGTTGGCCACCTTATCCCCTCCTCCTCCAATGGCCGCCGCAAAACCCAAGGGCAGCGGGCTTCGTGTCAGCTCATACCCAGGCTGTCCACAGAACAGCCCATGTGGACTGTGATTGGAGTTCATAGAATTGCTCAGCAGCTCCTTGAAAATGGGTGATAAACAGCTCCTAACAGTATCTTCAATTACGCTTGACAGTGAACCTGTTATACCCTGAGCAGCCACAGCAGGTGGTGGCTGAGTACAATTATTGATGTTACCAATGGAGGCATGATGCTGTCTTTCCTCCATTTTCACCATGCCAGCTCGGTTCCTCTTCTTGGGCCGTGGGGTTTTGCTGTTTATGTCGATGCCATTAAGCTTAGGGCTTTGGCAATCTGCAAAATTAGGGTTGTTGAGGTCATCATCATCATCCTCGATGGGGACAGTGATTGGGGCAGGGGCAGCGACAGCAGGGAAGGCGGAGGACGAGACGTTGACATTGAACGGGGGGAGATTACCCCAAATTTTAGCGGAGATTTCAAAGGTGGCCTGCTCGTGGGGGCTCTTGAAGGTGTAGTCCTTGCCGGAGCCGAACTTGTTGATGATGTTGCGGTACTTCTTCTTGAGGCGCCGGAGCTTCTCAACGAGCTGGTTCTTGTTGAAATCGAGCTGGAATTTGCTCCTGATCTGGTCGTAGAAGGCGGTGGTGTCGTGGTGGTGCTGGGCGGAGCCGTGGGGCCCTCGGTGTTGGCTGGTGTAGTCGAGGAACCCCTGAAGCAGCTCGATCTCGTCCTCGTCCGTCCATAGGCGCTGGAAGAGCTTGCGGGACTCGTCGGGTGGGACCGGCCGGCGAGCGATCACGATCTCCTGGGTCTGCTGTTGCTGCTGCGGCTGGTGGTGGTGGTTGTGGTGGTGGTGGTGGTGGGTCAGGTGCGGATCGGGGATTCCGGGGACGGCGATGGTGACCTGGGCGTCGGAGGCGGAGGGGGGAGGGCGATCGAGGGCGAGGGCGGCGGAGGAGGCGGAGTCGTCGTCGTCGTGATCGGAGAATTCCTCATCGTCGAGGAGATCCTCGTCTTCGTTGAAGTGATCGGGGGCGACGGGGTTATCGGCGGAGGCCATCGGAGCAATTTGGGGTTGGGCTCGGGCGATGAGGGGGAAGATGGTTAGGTTTTAGGTGGGCATTTTTGAGGGGAGGACCAGTTCCAGTCAATTGGTGGGGGGTGGTTAGGTGCTTAGGTTAGGTTTTTAGTTCCGTGACTTGGGTAAATTTTTCCCTATTAGGCCCATGTTCTAATTTCTTTTTATTTTCTATTTTACTTTTATTTTTTTGTGTCTTAACCTCATTTATTTTGGTCTTGGTTTTTTTGTTTTTTGGTATTAATCTCATTTATCGAATCTTCAAATTTGGGCTTAAAGCATCCACAATATTTTGAGTTCAATTTAAAAAAATTATATGTCACATAACTCAGTCTACAAAAATATATTCTCTAATGCAAATAAAAGTAGACTGAGTCTTGCTGATATGACAGCCAGAAAAAGAAACCCAGTCTCCCTTAAGTCTATTTAAAGTTTACCTTTTATACCTTTCAAACCCAAAAAATTCACTAAGTAGTTTTATTCTATTTAGTAGTTAGTAATTTTTTCATGTGTTTTTATTCTGTGTTTTGTTCTAGTTATTTTTTTTTTTTCTTGAATTTTCGAAATTTATTATGCTTTCATAATTAATGTGTAATTATTTTAGTCGTTTAATATTTTAAAAAGAAAAAACCCAAAGTTTAGTTCTTTGTTTCTCAGTTGACGGTCTAAATTTTACTTTAGATATTGAAAATGATGAGCATAAATTAGTCCCGAGATTGCAAATTGCAATAGTGCTGACCTGTGACAAATGAAATCGAACCCGAAAATATAATTATGTCCCGGCTTATGATTAAAGTATTTGATGCCGGCACCGCTTAGAAAATGAAGACATCCAATTCACCGGTAGTGTGGTCCTAATAAAGCTCATTCCCCATTCATTTTGAAAAATATTCCGCCCGTTGGCTGAATTTGTTCACCATCTTCCCATGGCTGAACTTGAACCCCACAGATTATCAGAAACAATAGCGGTTCAAGTGATTATCAGAAGTGTGCCAAATCCATTTGTATTTATTACAAAACGTTTGGCTTGAATGAGAAAATAGATAGACGGATTGGATTTATAAAGTGAAGGAAAAATTGTGGTCCGGATTACATATATTTTCTACTGTCTCTCATTTGCAAGCATCAGATACAAATCCTTTGCCAAAATAATTATACAAAACAAATACCCAGTTTATATCAAACATCCTTGCAAATAAGAGTAGCTAGCTCCTACTCACCGATCAGTGCACGTGGCCTGTGCTCGATTACAGAGAGAGACATTCCAGTCTGTGAGACGGCTCTCACAAAACCCATGTTTGCTGTCACGGTTTGAGCACACCAATTGTCCCCTGTCCCAAAAACCACTTTGTTTTTCACAGCCAGCTTTCTTGTTGTCTGAAGGCTAATCAGTCGTGTTGATGGACAATCAGGCACTACCCTGAAACCGTCATTTTAATAAATAATAACTCCAAAACCGAGTCAAAGAGATTTTGCTTTTCGAAGAGCTCACTTGAGAAACTTGAGAAGGTATTCAGCTCGTAACTTCTCATTGGGTCCACCGCACATTGAGATTAGCTCCTCAAACTCCGAGCGCACGCTTTCACATATAATTCCTTGTTTTCCTGATATTGAACTTAACAGCTCATTGTGGATTGGATGCTGGTGTTCACAGTCGACCTGGTAAAATGATCGTGTGTCAGCACTATTTAGACGCCTAGTCACAACTTCTTCAATCAAAACAAAAGGCAAAACTTTTAACTACTTTTGAGTTGAATGCATAGCAACATATGTACATGGCGTATTTTCCAAAAAGCTCATTCTTGAAAGAAAATAAATGTAAAAAACAACCAAATAAACAAAGCACTCCTCAGAGAGTTGGGTTACCTGGGCAATAACAAAGTCATAGTTGCCTTTAAACCGGGCTCTTAGTTCACTCTCAGGTTTAGCCAAAAGTTTCCCCGACCCACCATTACTAATTCCAGACACAATGGCGACCAATACAGTTGTATCAAAATTAACCACCTTAGCCTCACTGCACTTCCTTGACTGCTTAATTGATCCAACTTGAAGCCCCACATTATTATCATCATCATCAACATCCGAGGAGGAGCAGCACCAACATTTCATGGCAGAAACAAAATGACATAAAGATGATCCTATACTATTTGAATCAAAACACTCATCGTGCTTCTTCTTGCACGAGACAGGATCAACCATCCTTGCAGAATCAAGAATAGTCTCACGAGTATCATCATCTTCATGAACCTCAATCTCGACAAAACGAGCATCAGGAAACAATCTACCGAGCACTACATAAGTCCATCCGCCCTCCACTTGGAGCTCCTCACAGGAAAAATTCTCCATTTCAAAATCAACAGCTCCAAACTCACACCTAAGCTTCTGATCAACATCACTGTCGAGCCCCCTAGAGAAGAAAAGCACGATGGACGAAGGTCTTAGCGTTACAGAGGATTGACGGGCAGCGTCAAGGACATGCACAATCTTTTGCTTTAACCCCTTATTTTTATCACGAGAGTCACAATCCCAGAAAATGTATCTAGGGTTTCTATCAGAAACGATGAACCAGACAGGATTTCCGTTCAGAGAACACACAATATCGACGTAAATGCTACGCGAATGGGACAAACTAACCGCCTTGCAAACGCGCGATACCCCTGTAACAGACGGCTGCTGAAGAACGTGCACCACGGCCTCCAGGTGACCGATATTGTGGCTGCCATTCGTAAAATTACCAAGGAATAAAGCAAGCACATAGAAGCGACTGACTAGAAGAGAAGTAGATAATGAAAAGGGCCGAGGGAACAGTAAATAGTAAGAAGGAACCTGAGCGAGTGGGAGGCGGCGGGGACGCGGTGAAGAAAGTTGAGCTCCGATTGGATTAATCGAGAGATGGTGTTTTTCAGGGGCCGGGAAAGCTTGCTGGTGTTCAAGCGGTGAAGGCGATCGGTAAGAGTGGCGCATCTTCTCTTGGCATCCTCCACGACGGATGCGGCGGCGCTTTCTCTCTCATCCATCTTTTCCGATGACATGCCGCTCTTTCTGATTCTACGACTGTAAAATGTAAGCTAAAACGGGTAAGGACTAAGGAGCATGAATGTGGGTCTTGTTCGGGTCGAATACCCGGGTACCGTTGGTTGTGATTTATCCATTAGCACGATTGTTAGAGCTGCAAACAAGGCAAGAAAAAAAAAAAACTAGCCCAAATTCAGCTCGTTTAAAAAAACTACGTTAAAAGTCTTATATTTTAGCTCGTTTATTAAATAATTCAAGTCGATCTCAGATCTTTAAACAAGTCAAGTCGTTTATTAAAAATCTTATATTTTAGCTCGTTTATTAGACAATTGTTCGTTTCGTTTTACAAATCTAATTTACAAATGTCAAAAAGTGTAAGAAATTAAAAAATCTTTTGTNAAAAAAAGTGACTCATCACCAATATGTTCGTGAAGTACAAAATGTGGAGCTTCATTGTATAATTAATTTAAGTGGCCTTTAATTATCAAATGCAATTGACACTGCAAACTAAACCAAACCCTCTATGGAACATGTCGGACAACATTCACCTCATGCAACAACTTCTCCGACAATATATGCGTAAGCAGATCTCTCCGAGGTGCACAATCAAGATTGACCTTCGCAAGGCCTTTGACTCTATCTCTTGGACCTTCTTTAGGCAAGTTCTTCATGGACTTAATTTTCCGGAGACTCTTATTGGTTGGATCATGGAGTGTGTCACCACAACCTCATACTCCATCTCAATCAATCGTTTGCTTTGTGGCCATTTCCAAGGAGCTAAGGGGTTGAGACAAGGAGATCCGCTCTCGCCTTATCTCTTTGTCATTTGCTTAGAGTATCTCTACAGGCTCATGAATCGGAGCACGGCTAGCGGATCGAATTTCAACTTTCACCCCAAATGTGAGTTTCTTAGAATCACCCACCTAGCCTTTGCGGATGACCTAATGCTTCTCTCGCGGGGGGACCCTCGATCTATCCAAATCCTAATGGAATGCTTGAGAGACTTTGGGGCTAAATCGGGTTTGAAAATGAATGTTCAAAAGTCCAACATATACATGGCGAGGGTCGGCCACTTGGAGCATTCGGAGATTCTTCGCGACACTAACCTCCAATCGGGGTCTATGCCTTTCCGGTACCTCGGTATCCCTCTCACGGCAGAAAGAGTCACGGTTGGACAATTTGATGCGCTCATTAATCAAATTTTGAAGTATATTATTGGGTGGAACGCTTCCCCTCTCTTATATGCGGGGCGTGTGGAGCTCATTAGATCGGTCCTCCAAGGGGTTGAATGCTTTTGGATGTCTATCTTCCCTCTTCCATCGACCGTCCGTACGCTCATTATCCAATGTTGCCGACATTTCCTTTGGGGCTCAAAGATGGCGCCGGTGGCTTGGCATAAAGTCACTCTTCCACGTTCGGAGGGAGGCCTTGGTCTTCGGGACCTAAAAGTGTGGAATCAAACCTTGTTGACTCGAACACTTTGGAATATACAAGCTAAGAAAGACACCTTGTGGTATCGTTGGGTTAATCATATCTATCTTCGGCAAAAGTCCGTTTGGGAATGGACTATCCACAAGAATGATTCACCCCTTTTAAAAAACCTCTATGATATTCATAATCTAATGGTTGAAAAGTTGGGTAGTATGCAAGCCGCCGAGGCTGCTCTAAGTCTTTGGGAATCCAAATCCCAATCCAAGGGGCCCTCATGCGTCTATGAGTCCTTCCGAGCTAAAGGTACACCCGTCCATTGGAAAGGTGTCGTTTGGGGGCCCGCCAACACCCTCAAACACACATTCATCCTTTGGCTAGCAACGCTCGGGAGGCTCCATACCAAGGATAGGCTCGACTTCCTTGAACTCGACCCTACTTGTGTATTTTGTGGGGAAGCTTCCGAGACCATTGATCATCTCTTTTTCACTTGCCCCCTATCGGCTCAAGTTTGGTTTGGCATCCGACATTGGCTAGGTTTGAGGCGGCAACTTTCGACACTTAAAAGTGCATTGAAATGGATTAAGAAGGATGTCCAAGGCTCCGGTTGGAGAACAAAAGCAAAGAAGGCCGGGCTCGCGTCGCCGGTGTACTTTTCTTTGGAATGCTCGGAATAGGAAGATATTCGAAAATGAAGTCCAATCACCGGAGCTCATCATTCGGAAAATCCACACTCATGTCTACCGAAATATCTTTGCTTTGTACCCGAATGTCCTTGCCGAAGTAGAGAGGAATGCCCTTGGAAATGGCTAGGCTAAACCTCCTTGAGGTACGTAAGATGCAAACCCGTGTTTATCGTACAAGTATTCGCGATGTTTTCTAATATACTTGTCGAGTTTGAGAGGAAAGTCATTTTGATTTATGGTCACTATTTGGTTTGAGTTGAACACCCGACTTGTAATTTGCCTCTCATTATTTTGATTAGCGTATGAGGTACTGAGCTTGTGGTTAGGCTTTTGTTTGCCGTTCAACGGTCGTTGTAACTCCATTTTTGATCTATAT